TCATCAGTCCTTGTCATCAGTCCTTGTCATCATTTTGTCATTAAAGGAGTCATTTCTTCAGCCACTTACATCTGGATCACATCAACTATCTCTGGTGTAGAGACAAAGATCTCAAACGAACGGTAACTATTGTACGGGTAAGTATCTCAATGGACAGGCCTTTCTGTAACTTCTTTATAGTCTAGAAAACATAATTTCTCTAGAAATAAAATAAGCTAAGATGGTGGCTCTTTAAGATCAAATTATTATTTCTGTACAATCAGGGTAGCTCTTTGTTTATGATGACTAAGAAATTTGATTTGACGTATCAACGTAAAGCTCACTGGCCATAGTCTGGCGCGCGCAGCACCTCTAAATGCCGAACTCTTGTGCTTTTTGGCACCACGTATCATAGAAAGCAAATCACCTTTCATCAATTTCGGCGCGCACGTACATTTATAGAGCTATTTTAATGGCGCTTAGTTTTCGGTTTTCACCAACTTTTCAGGGGGAGAACACCTCATCAAGTCAACTTGGATCACTGGACCCATTTCTCACCGGAGACAAAGACCCTTACATTCGCTATTTATTTATGATACCAGCCTAGCTAGTCTGAAGATGTTCTTTCAATCATACTGCACTCCTTTGAGAACGATTTCTTAGTGCCTTGCTAAATTTACAAGATCTAGAAAATACTGAGTGTATGGAGCATCTTACTTGACCTGGGATGAAGCGACCTATTCGTATCCCAGTAAATCTCAATCTTAGAAAATAGCCAGTCACCCGAAAGTGGGATGAATAAATTTGTTATCCGCCTGGAAAAGCTGATCACGATTTGCTACATGCAAGAAAGCTACAAATCGGCAATATATCCATACCATCTAAAGAATTACGATAATTGTCGGTTACATTTGCGAAGGGGAGAGCATCGTCAGAAGCCAACCGCCTAGTGAAGACCCCACCTCATTCATTGTACCTTTCCTGTTCTATTTGATCGAGTCTAGGATACGCAGCCTTACGTGCTTCAACCTCCCAATGCCCTTGTTACTGGAAGTTTCAGCTTAGGATTACCATAGTCTCTTCTAGTTCTCTTATTAACAGAGTTCCCCTCCTCATTGAATTGAAAATTGATTGGAGCAGCGTCCACTGTGGGAGAATTCACAAGTTTATTTGGTCGTGTGGTTTGCGAAAATTCATTCTTACAGCATCACTCCATCTTTATTAGCGTTTGATTTAAGTTGATATAAGATTTCATATAATTGATTTTGTGAAAGTTAACCTGATAGTGACGATGGTTATAGGTATGACGTATGTTGTCGTGAGGTGTTGAAGTGATGATCTTTATTTATAAGTTAGGTTCGTGAGTAAGTTCCCGATTTGAAGATAGCTCTGTTAATTTCCTCCACTTGCCTTTAAGAATAATATAGAGTTTCTAATCTTATCGAGACGATGTTAACATGATAATACCTGAGAAAGTTTGGTGGTTGGTTGTTGATATTGTTTGATAAGTGGTGGTTGTTTGCTGATGCTTCCATTTTAGATCATGCTGATAAACTCATAAATGGGGTGTTGTTGATTTGTTTTGACAGCAGGAAGATTTAGATTTTGGGTTTACAGATAGAAATCCAGTTTTATTGTATTTACGGCGTCGTGCTAAAGACAGCCTCATCCACCGTGACAAAGAAAAGACCACCAGAAAGTGAACGCTGCCGATGGCACCCCGCTCAGCGCACAGACCTGTACTCTTAACCGTTAAACTATTTCAGCTGCACACTTTCACACTGACTCCCACTAAATCCCACTAACCACCAGGCTCTGGAAGTATTCGTGGACGACGAAACCAAACTCACCCTTCACGGACTCCAACAATACTACGTGAAACTGAAGGAGAGCGAGAAGAACAGGAAACTATTCGACCTTCTGGATCTGTTGGAGTTTAACCAGGTTGTTATCTTCGTCAGGACCGTACAGAGATGTATGGCACTCACCCAGCTTCTCTCCGAACAGAACTTCCCTGCTATCTGCATCCACAGATCCCTCAGCCAAGAAGAGAGGTACACTCATCGGATCTTTAAATGAGCGGTTTCTTCAATTTCGTACTTACTTTTTTCCTGTTTTAAAGCTTCTAGAGCAATGCTGATCACTTTATCCAATTACTCGATGTTTAACTACCTGGCCTACTAACACCCAACAATTTCAGGTTGAACCGCTACCAACAGTTCAAAGATTTCCAGAAGAGAATCCTCGTAGCTACAGACCTGTTTGGCCGTGGTATGGACATCGAGCGAGTAAACATTGTCTTCAACTACGACATGCCTGAGGATTCCGACATGTACCTTCACAGAGTAAGTTAACCAATTAAGTTAATCTAGAAACATCTTCGTTTCATTTCACAGCAACTTTTTCATGAGGGTTGTCTTGGTTAATATTTATAATATTGATTATAATATCAAGAGTATTCAAATATTCACCCAATTGAATCACAGGTCGCGCGAGCTGGAAGGTTCGGTACCAAAGGTCTAGCCATCACTTTCGTATCCGACGAGAACGATGCTAAGATCCTCAACGACGTTCAGGACAGATTCGAAGTCAACATTGGGGAACTACCAGATTCAATAGACATCACCAGCTATAGTAAGTTCATTTTTCTTATGCTAACCCAAAACACTATAATTAAATTGATAATAAGCTATCAAAATGAAAATGTTACTACGACTTTGCGCTATGATAATGTTATTTTCAGTCGAACAACGTTAAAGAAAAGTTCCCATTCCACGATTCAGAAACTGACTTTTTCGGACAAATTTCTCACAGTTGACATCAGTTGAACTTTTAATAATTTGCTACTTTAATGAGCTGAATCTTACCTATATAATTAGCTACAGCTACTTTCAATTAGCTTCCGGTAACAAAAAACAGGTTTTCTCATGATTCGACCCCGCGTTTCAGTTTGGCCGAGTCCAAATGTAATTTTATTTTAAGATTATTTAATTGTTCTCTATTTTAAGTGTTTGTTTTTTTTTGTTGAACAAAAGGAAACAAGAACCTACAAAAATTGTAGATTGGGTACGAAGTAAGCCATTTTTTGGCTAATCTATCCATCTACCACTATACCCTACTCCGTACTCATTCATATTGAAAGTTACTGGAGTTAGATGCACCTTTCTCACCAAAAGCTTTGATGTAACTTGAATTGAACATTTAAGGGGCCATTACTAACTACTCAGGACGTCCGCCAAAATCGCAGATTTTCAGACCACACCCCCTGTCTAGGTGTTTAATAATATTAATACATTTAGTGTCGAACTTGATTGACGGATGTTACTCGTCTGAATTTCTTCGAAGTTGCGCGCGCCGCTTTCTCATTTCTTCTCGAAATATTGGCAAGTGCTACGAAGTAGCGCCCGCCGGGCCAGACCATTAACAATGGTCAAAACCCTGGCTTTTACTAATATTAATTCGCTCGCCCGAAAATTTCACGTGACTTTGGTTTTTATGGTTTTGCAGCCGTACAAAACGGTTTTACATAAACACTACCCAGGAAACCTTACTGGTAGGGGCCTAACTTCGAAAATAAAAGAGATAGAAACGTCTGGTTTTCAACAAAACGTCCGTCTCGTAAAACTAAAGTTAGCTCCTCAGGAGCACAATTTGGGACAACCTAGATTTTGAATTATCGCGAAAAGTCTTATTTTGGGCCTTTACTTATAAAAGTGCGCAGCTTTAACTTTGCGGATTCTTGTTCTCTGATTGATTGGTTGACGATGTCAACCCATCGAGATCGTTGCTCTGCGAAGCAGAGCAACGATCGAAGCAAGAATGCTAGTTCGCGCGGCGCGTCGAAGCGGCGAAGTCCTTTGACGGATGTTACTCGTCTAAATTTCTTCGAAGTAGCGCGCAAGTGATGCGATGGCAAGTGCTACGAAGTAGCGCACGCCGGGTCAGACCATTAACAATGGTCAACGAAGTCCTCCAATCTGATTGGCTGAATCGTATCACGTGGTGCAATTGCATTCTTGGAATGTTTGAAGCGTGCAAATGCAATGAACTAACGAGCGCGCGCGGAGTTCATCACGAACAAGCTGTGAAGACGCGATCACCTGTAGTAATATCGCCAGCCAGTAAGGTCTGCTGGGTAATCCCAACGCTAACCCTAACCATAACCCCGAAGCTAACCATAACCCTTACCACAACCCAAACCCGAGCCCTAAACAATCGAATTCGTATTTTTGATTTTACTAGCCTGTCACGTGACCAAAACGGTTTTTTGCCCCTAACTCTCCAGGGAAGCATTTTAACCCTACGTCATGGGGTGATTCGGAATCACCGTCCAAAAATACACCGATTTAGATCACTTGTATGCCCAAAGGGCCTTTTCACAAGAATTTTCTTAAAATTTGGGCGAGCGACTTAGTAGGGGCGCAAAACACTTTACTTCCAGATCGTTGCTCTGCGAAGCAGAGCATCTCGTCATTGTTAGAGATTTTGCAGGCGTATCCTCTAAAATATGATCATCTGATTTGTTCAATTTTTGCTACACGTTGTATACCTCTCTCGTTCACGGACGGCTGGAGTGCGAAAAGGGGTTGCAACGTGTATCAGTTCAATTTTAGAAGGGGGCACCAACAGGCAACTGAACGTTACGCCACTGCACCTGATCCTTAATTATAATAATATACGAACTTGGAATCTAGGCCTCCCTTTGTAATCAGTAGTGCGATCTGAAGGCCTCCCCTATGCTATGCAACACGAGCTCGGAGTCGGCTTTTAGACAATTAGAGGTCCGTACTCCGTGCGATATATCTCCACCGAAAGCGTATCCAATTTGAAACGTTAAATCAAAATATGTCTATAACTTGTATTGATTCTGCACTAAGTTTTGGGATAACATAATGTTTTAGCCTCTTTGTCCCCAACTTCGGCACAAATTGGCTACACCTTGGTCAAGTAAATTTGTTACAGTAGCAATAAATTTGCTTCATCATCGCTCACGATGACTCATTTACAACGAAAACACATTATTTAAACTTAAAACCAAACTAAACAATGATTCACGGCCCAGAATGTAAAAAATGAAGGCACAAGGCAGGAAGGTGTGAAAATATATCAAATTTTTGACAAGATAAAATTGTTGTTACTGTTAATTACAAGAATCAAAATTGCTTGTTTTACGTTTATTCATTTAATCACTAACAATTTAAAATCCTTGATCAAGGAATCATTTGGACAAATATAAATGCGTGAAGTTGGGGGAGCCTTGGCATGACACCTACGTACCCAAGGTGCTTGATGAAAATAGGGATGCGGTGCTCATGACCATTTGAGTAAATGGGCATTTTCCGGCCAAAATCGAAAACCAAAAATAAGTATTTCTGATACCATACTCTGGGCTGAGCTTGATAATTAAAGGACGACTGAACATACATTAGCAATATCAAGAGGAAATAGGAATCACAAAATCAATCAAATATCATAACTAACCAAAAAAATCTGACAAAATGAATTTAAACACTACATGATATACAGTAAATTTAATACAAAACCATCTTACAAGGGGTGTTTGATGACGACGCAAAATTATTCAACTAGTCCAATTTTATGAATTACAGCCAGACATCAAACGTTTAATTAGCAGTTGCCCAAAATTATTCTAAAACAGTGTTAGATAACGACACCATGGTAATTAATGACGTAACCATGGTAATTAATGACGTCACCACATAAATCGCTGAGGGTTAGGAGTTAGAGAATCCGTGATCTCCCAGTCAAAAGTTTTGTTGAGGAAGATTTTGACAGTGACCAGGTTAATCACGGTGTACTGACAGAGTTCCAGGAATAACACCACCCACGAGTGTTGCGGCACGTGCAGCCTAGGAGTATTTATTGTTTAGAGACATACGTTCGACTAATATTGAAAATAATCTTATATTTATATTCAATGAGACTAGGTACCTAGTATCGAAGCTGAGCATATTTTTTCTGACTTCTAAGAATAGCGATTGTTAAAGAGGTTCAACAATCGCTATTCTTAAAGGTCAGAAAATAATAAGTCAGAAAATAATTAATAATAATAATAATCGACAAAAAAAACTCGAAAAACACTTAAACTAATCAATTTACCGATAATTAAGTAATTAATTATCCAATATTAGCCCTAATCACCTGTACAGCAGATAAGGTAAGATAAAGTATCTGAACTCCAGCAAGCCCTGCGGTACAATCTGACTAGCCACGCAGAGGAAATAGAGCAGAGTGAAGAACTTGGAGTGGACCGTTGAAAGGAGGGCCACAATGTTTAGGAATGTGTAGAAACATACCGGGAGGAGGTAGTACATTGTGTAGGACGTCCGACTGAAGTGATTTGTTAGATAGATTGGGGACTTAATACACTACTTACACTGAACTAGATATGAAGTACTTAATTCACTTGTTAAAAATTACAGAAGTTATGTAAGGGAGGGGTTGGGCAAATTTTATCAATCCAACATGCCGTGAGAGATGAAAATTAATAAGTCCATTAACCCCTGTGTTATAATTAAAACTTAAATTAGAAGGTACATTTACAAACCAACTTACTTCAGGATTTTTCGCCAGATGTAAAATGTATAGTGTCTGTTATCAGCCAGAAGATAGGGATGCTCATATCGGAAGAAGTAAAGAGCCAAAACTGCACTCATGAAGAAAAGTAACACGTGTACAGGCCTGAGATAACAGTTAATATCATTTAACTGGTGAAACGGTGAACTAGGATGGAAGTTACAAATTTGAGCACATTAAATTAACAAGAAAATATGTAATTATTAAGCAAGATGCATGGGAATTTAGAAACTGTCTCACTTAAAAACGTAGTAAAGTACAGTGAGATGACTGTGTCGTAGCCGTTGGATCATGTGGGGTAAGGAGAATGCAGTAAGGAAGAGAAGGAAATAGAGAAACTGAGGGAAATGTAGAACTGCTGTGTGGGCACTCTTGTCACCTGAGGGTAGGAACAGGGTTAACTTTAAGTGCGGGTAATTCTTGAAAAATGTCAATGAACTAACACGTTCGAAATTATAACTTTTGACACAATTTCAATTAGGAAATAATATCCCAGAAATATGTCAAGTTGTTAGGAATGAGTACTTACCGACAACGATACCACCGTTTAAGACAATAAAAACACCGAATCCAGCGAGAACCATCAGATAAGGTAGGAGTAAAAGCAGATACTGCCAGAAATATCTCAATATTACTTTAACAGCTATTTCCATTTGAGAGAAGAAATCATCGCAATGCTCTAGTAATCCTCGATTTTCGATGTCCCTAAAAGTAAAGTATGTTAAGGCTCAGAAAGGAGAGCTTATTTCTAGTCAAAGTTGGGAGGAAACGGTAATTGAGAAGAGATGGACAAAGAAGGCTTTATCTTTACCACTGACCTAATAACTACAGTTCCAGCGGTAAAGCCGACCCATATAATGTTTGTTTGCCGAAATAAAACTGATATGGCGCCCAGCTGAAAATAGCAGAGGATGGATTTATAATCATGGTATGGAAAGGCAGGTCAAATGTACATAAGACGGCTAAAACAAGTGGTGGATGTTAAAACGCGCGTGCGCGCAAAATTTTATGCTTCGAAAATGTTTGAATTCTGTGCATTACACAGATAAAGTTGCTCAGCGCGCTACGTTTACGTGACACATTTAGCGACTGTGACCGGCCCTCGTCTTCACTTACCATGGCAGATTTCAGATGATGGTTTCTGATAGAACAACTGTAACTAGCTAATACAAATAACACACTTCCAACATCAGTATAATATAGAAGGTTGTAGAAGTAGAGTAAAGGAAAGCAAGTCAGCACTAGGCTGTTCATCATGCAGCATGTTCGGTGTATCGGCTGAATACCTAAACCGGGATCATCCTGAAAAATAAAAATTCATAAGATACCGCGCTAGTAGATAATTTTATCTAAAAAAGGAGTAATATTTGACTGGAAGTTTTTGAAATGAGAGATAATTTCTGTCAACAGTACACTTCAATATAGCAGTGTGAATAAGTACACGAACTTACCTTTAAACGACGAGATAGCTTCCTGAATATCGTGTACATAACTACAAATATCAATACTGACATCACTATGTTGACAAACCTGAAAAAAGAGATAACATTAATTATCATAACTAAGAAATTGCATACAATTAATCACGGAGATGGAAAGTTTGCCGTTTAATACACAACATCAGATTGAAATCTTAAATTTCATTTTCAAGACAAAAACTATCCACAAGTGGACAAACCTTAGTTTTTCCAGAGAGCAATACTCAATGTTGGGTTTACCAGTCATAAACCCTGCACAATGTGCAATAACTGCGTTCAGTAAATACAAGCCAGGTAGCGTAGTTATCTTGCTGTCCCATACTGTCCAGTTTCCTGCGCAGAAGTGTTGCGCCTGGCGCACGTGGAATACTTCGTCCTGAAAACAGCAGGGTGTTAGTTCGTCAGCAGGGTGTTAGTTCGTTAGTATATATTAGTTATCTTAGAGCGTAGAGGTAGCATTCGACTGACAATATTATTGTATCAGAAAGTGAAACATACACGCTCCATAACTACATCTGCCATGTGTAAGTTTTCAGCAACATTCAAACGAGAAACACGCTAAAATGTCTAAGTAACCTATCTATTCATTTATAAAAGTTTATTTACTTATAAAATTAACCAATCTATTCATTTATAAAAGTTTATTTACTTATAAAAGTAACCAATCTAATTACCATGTAAGGGTTAGTTTGAGCGTTGTTGATTTTAACAACTTCCCCCAAAGTCACTGCTAACATGGCAGCTGCAAAGAAGCCGCACCAACTACTTGCAGGTAAGTCTAGTTCTGATATTGTGTTCCGAGCTATGTCAACCTGCATTCATTATATTAATTGAGTATTTAATTAGTTAGAACAAATTATACACACAGTGCTCAGTGCTCAAGGGATTCAATAGGCAATCAAGTGCATAATTTTCGAAAGAACAATGAACTTTTCATTCAGAGAAATAGTCCATGATAGCTTTAACATGATTCTAGAGGATCAGTCAATGTATTTTTATTGAAAAGTTAAACCGTGCTCAAATAAACAAAATTATGTTCGCCAAATTGGCACGAAATATCACAAAACCAACAATCATCACACTACCTACACTTTGTTGGTACATGGCATAGGAGCTGGTCCTGGCATGGTGAACCAAGGGGTGATCGAACACGAAACTAGAGGACCGGGCATGTTTTCTCCGATTGGAACTCTTCTCTTGACTCCGCTTTACTCTCCTTTCCCGGTGCTCCTCTTCATGACGTTTACACGCTCCTTCCTCTTCTGAAGAAGACGGTGAACTAACTCGAGATCGGGTGACTTGAACTCGGTCAGATGATCTGCGTGTAGGGGTGGTAGGCGCTGCACTGTCGTCTGATGATGAGTAGTAAGCGCGATGTTTGGGGAGCACGTGTCGTGTTGTGGGGTTTTGTTGTAGGAGAGTGTCGTCAGAACTGCTCATCAGCTAGTTGGGGTAGGGTCATGTGATATTCCGTTTAGGTTTAAATGTTAAGCAACTTAGTCTTATCATACTAGTAGTAGAATCAGCTAATCGGTACATAAAATCACGAGTCTTCAAAATTATTACAGCAGATCACAGCACATTTTCAAATATATTGCTGAACAATAAGGAGGCGAAGCAATAAAAGGGATATGAACAACTTAGAATAAAATTAAAAAGCCATCATGAATTAATTGTTGGTTTTCTGCTGTTGCTGGGGCTGTCTTCCGGGTGGCCCTCGGACAGGTGGGGTCCTTATTCTTCTGTTTTCTCTGGACCTGTAACAAGACATTTAATTAAGTAACAAGATATTTAATTAATTATAACAGTTTTATGTGAGGGTTTACTTTATGATTTTGAACAAAAATTGAAGGCAAGGTTACTTTAGTTTAGGAAGACAATATTCACGAAAAGATCCAAGTAACAGTTTATAAAGTCCACGTACCTGTTCCTTACTACTTTACTGTGAATAGCACAAGACACACAGTAGTGCAATTTGACGTAGATCTTAGGCAGGATATAACTCTTGTAAACACTCTGTTCCCCGATATCTCTCAGTGCGGCAGCCTCTACTATGTTCCTTATTATGAACTTCTTAATAGCCTTGTCCTTGGGAACGCAACGGGCACAGTTGGTGCACCTCAGGAATTTAACGTGTCCACGACCGTTCTTGTTACGTCCTCCATTACGTCTCTTCTTGGTCATTCTGGCTACTTTAGGAATGTGTGGATTAAAGAGTGATACTTGAGAAATTGAAACAGTTAAGTATAATGTTCATAATTTTATGATATTGTGTATTGATGTCATACGTATAAATTGAATAGAATTCAAACTATACCAATAACAGTTGAACCAAAATTTACGTATCATAAATCTAAAGAGGTTATTTACTTATCATTTATTAACATAAATTAAGATTAAAAGTTGGGCGATTTATTCCGTCGAGAAAGAAGGATGAAACTGTTTGGCCAGTCAGGGTAGCTACAACGACAATCTCATTTATCTGATGATAATTCTACTAGTTTCTCTTCTGTATGATCCATTTCATCTTCTCCAGAAGGAACCATTTGCATTACTTGCTGCTCTGAATTTGAAGGGACTATAAGTCTTTCTAGCAGCAGAGCACTGGTTGGTTTTAAATATCGATAGTAGTTATCTATGTTATCCTTCACACAAAACCCAAACTTCTCATAAAACTCAACAGCCTCACTGTTTGAACTTTGAACATGTAACTGAACTGCACTACATTTCTCAGCTTTTGAAAGCTCCAACACAAAGTTCAGCAACTTTGTTCCTATCTTCTTTCTACGATAAAGTACCAAGCACCCCAGTGTCATTATATAGAGGATATTTGAGTCCACCTTACAGCATACCATTCCCACATACTTTCCATACCACATGGCCAATCGGCTGCAGCTAGGGTTCTGTAGCACATACTGATAGAATTTGGGAGTGTAGTGGATCGGGAGGATGGAAGCGTTCAGAATTTTTAGTTGCATTATGTTGGACTTGTCTATTTTTACCAGTTCTGAACCTGATCCAGCATCTTTGACATCAGCAGCCAGCATGGATACATCCAGAAATGTCCAACACTTATGTCGGGCAACGTTAAAATGAATACAATTCGAATAATTGCGTGCTCTTACAGAATTCAAATAATAAAATCACATCTTAGCCTCAGGCATCAGGTGCATCCTGAAGAAATCAAATTGCGAGAAAAAGTAAATTTTAAAATACATAATTTTGAGAACATTTCAAAGAAAAGTACAATTGAAAGCAATGAAACAAGGTTTGTTATATAATTAAAAACTCATAAATAAAATGAATCTTATTGGCCTTGTGGGGCACCTCGTCCGTATCCTCCTCTCTGAAATATAAATTGATTAGCAGATAAACACAAGGAAATATTTTAGACAATACTGGGGCTCGAATCAGATTACCAAAGACTCTCGTCAGTTATGTGACACCGTTTAAAATACTGTTGTGAAAATTATGTACTTTGAGAGCAGCGCTAAGTCAAGTTAATGCCTTGATCTAAATACGCTCCCAAAAGTTTATTGTCAAGCGGCCTTTACAATCAGCAATTTAACTCTAACTGCCAACTAAGATAACACTTGTTTCAGTACTGAAAACGGGAATTCACTCAGATTTTTAAGCCTTTATTGATCATCATGTAAAATGGAAGCAAACGAACGAGGTTTCAAAAATAAGCTGACTTACGAATTCAGGTTGGAATCCTTGTCCGGGACCGACATTCTTGCCTTCTGCGCTTCTGTAGGCATCACGATCATCTGATTTAGGTCCGGCAGGAGCTCCTGAAGGTTAAAAGAGTAAATAATTATTAGATAAAGAATAAACCAGTTAAGACATGCGAAGTTTTAATTAAGCAATTAGAATCTTCATCAGCGAACCATACAAACGATACTTAACAAAACTAACCTTGTGGCTTTGGTTTAGGAGGGGCAGTCGTTGTTCGAGCTGTGGGTCGCTTCAAGGTAGAAGGAACGATTTCTTGTGGTAAATGGAGATAGTCTCTCAAGAAAGTGATTCCATCATTTTCCAAATACCAGTAAAAATGTTGCCATGCGAACTGTTCCTTGACGTATCCCTTAGATCTGAGCGACTGAAATGTTATTTGTTAGTTTTAATGATTTACCCTGAATACTTCATTCTTTAACGACGAGAGCTAGAGTGGCCTATATTCATCAAGAGAAAAATTGAAAGAATTCACAGGAAATCATAAACTTGAACTCTGTTGACAAACCTGCATGGCCTTGATTACTTGAAGGTTGGGCACTGACTTAACATTAGGATGTGTGGGGGCGTTAAAGTCCTTCTTAGCTACGACAACTCCCTCTTTAAAGAGGTGTTCAAACACTGCCTTCCTGTTCTTCTTGGGTATGAGCATGGCTGTACAATGTTAAGAATCAGAAACAATTTTAGGAGCACAGTTCAATGTTACAACTGTTCAAAAAAATTGAGGGATACAAAAGTGTTTATTTAACTTTGTTAAATCGGATGTAGGACACACCACACAATTTTTCAATTGATTCGCCAAAAGATACGCACAATTTCTATGAAGAATATCTATCTCGTACAACTCTGAATACGATAACACTTAAATACACATGTAAGCTTCAGGATATGAAGTTAATGATATTTGCTGCCTGAGTGAGAGAAGGCCAGAGGTTTGAATGACCCTTTCTGAGTTTCCAGCCTACAATCTTCAAACATATCTCACTTTTTTCTTTCTCAGGACCAATGTCTAAACCGAGAGCTTGCATGTCGTTAAGAAAAACAATGAACATTGAACATCCATCATGAAAGCAGGAATGTAGTAGTAGGAAGTGCTGTGGGTTAAACTTTAAAATGCGATACAATGAAGATGAACCAAAGGGTAACCTTTCAAGATGCAGAGGCGGCTATTGAGGGCGTCCAAAAGAAAGCGCATGCATGATCTTTGTGAAATTTGGTGTTGTTGGTCGTCCAATCCTACGTTTGGACGACTAAGCCGCGCAGGTTTAACACAGTTGATTGTAAACGGTACAAAGCACATCAAGCGCATCCCACTACAGGTAATCTATATGATTTGCTTGTCCAGGACACCTTGCAATTTGAACTATCGACTATTACACTAGTAGTAATAATAATATGCTATCAATTTGTGCCTAGTGCAGTGGGATACATACATGGTGAAATTAACAATGTACTTGGGTCAGTTCAGAAACGAGCGCCAAAAATTATTTTATTCAGATTAATTCAGGACAGTCATAAGCTACAATATACGAAAAAAAACCTCGTCCGCTAACCCTTGTATTGTCAACAATCACAAGATTCACATGTAATGATGGAGTAAGGTTAATTGGATCAAACCAACATGTCCTTCCTTAACTGCTTTTCCCCCGACAAGATGACTTCGAACGGCTATGAGGACACTCTGAAGTAGAGAAAAGCCAGGTCTTGCTCTTACAAAGCCCATCAATGGGCATGTTACTAGTCTCCTTTGTCTGATACTTTTGCCCGATTCATGACCTTAGTGCAGCTTGGTCCTGCCTCCTGAAGTTAAGAACACAACAGGTTAAGTTCAAATGATCCTTTCTCGGTTTCCAAGACCCGATCTTCCTCAAGGTCTCTCTTCTCTCTCACGTTTCTTACATGTAGTGCAGGAGGACTGACAGTAAGATTTAGAGCGGCATGCGGACAAGACACTTTAAAGAAAGTGCGCTCAAATGCGGACTGAAGTCCAGCCTAAAGCAATATACCTAAATATAGAGAGTCTATTTTATCATCATTTCATCAAATCTGGTGCAGCAGTTAATAAAAAGATTTCATGTAAAAGAAGCACAGTGGGCCAGAATAGGGGGGCAGGCTATATTAGACATGTTAGTACCATCCAAATATGTCTGAAAGGTGTTCTGTAGACTGCTTTGACCCAAAAAAACGATCAAAACCAATTTCAAGACCCTACTATACACAAAAACTGAGAAAATTGGGGATTTTTGAATTATGCTCCTTGAATTTTTAGCCCCAAAATGCCCAAAAATTCAAAATTCCTTACACAAGCCACAAAATCAGTTTTGAAATGCTTTACTTGTAGCTAAAGGCTTTCAGAACTAGTATTTAAAATTTCATCAAGATTGAACAAAAGATGGCCGAGTTATAACAAAAATATGTATGCCCATATTTGGGCATAAGCCCTAAATAACATAGTTTAAGCCAATAAATTGGTAACAAATCGGCATTTTAAAATAATCCCCAAGTTTCCCCAAGTAGATTTTTCTACTATATTGTAGGGAATCCTCTAAGCTTTCAGATGGTACTATGGAATATGGCGGCCTATTGCGGCCTAACAACTATTTTTGGTCTGGAAGACCAAAAATTTGCCTAAAAATGGGACAAAAACTCAGGGTCATGTCAAAAATCAGCTAAATTAGATAGCCTATTAAGGTTTTTTTCAATAAATTAAGATTTGAGAGTTGTTTTGAGATGTAAAAGGAGACAATTTACTTTATATAATCTTATTTAAGGAACAGACATAGAGTAAGAGCTATTTTTCACTGCCAAAAAGAAACAAAATCAATTTTTGAAAAATCGCAAATTTCGCGGCCGCGTAGCGGTTAAACTATATGGAATTTTTAATTTCGGTTTTTTGCATTCTGTAGGGGAACAGTTTTCCCATCAGATTATTTAAAATACATCTTAAACTGACAAACTCATTTTTGGACCTAATATAGCCTGGTGGCCCACTGTGAGAAGAGTGTCTGATGTGTTAGTAATGGACGATATGAACATTTTAATTTTGAATGGACATGGTCTCAAGCAACACCCAAGTTAAAGGACTCCAACCATTATCATTGAAACCACCCTGTTTAAGCCAGATGCAAAAAGCCCCACTCTCACAATAACTAGATTCTCTACAGGACTCAATCTCAACTAAAATTTAAACTCACCACTTCTGAAAACCTTTCGGTGAGATTATTTTTTTATAAAATTATTCAAATAATATACACATAATATAGCAATGACCCTATATAAAATCTACCCTTTAAGAATTTAAAAAAAGTTTCCTAAAAAATCAAAAATTACCCTTGGCCTTGTGGCTCCAAGTTAAGATCTAGACTGTTTATATCAACAATGTTTTTTCTACAATGTATCCTACAGCATCCGAGTACCTCTGGCCAGTGTGGTACTCCATCTTACTGGCCAGCTTCTTAACCAGTCTTTCAGCTTCACCACCCATTCCACCAGAAGTCGAGAAAACTAAAGGTGTGAAGCTTCCTTTCTCCACTTCAAGAACCCTTGCGTTGTAACATCGCTTTTTCTCATTTTCGGTGAGATTATTAACATTATTTTCAAGATAGTTGTTGACTTCAACTTAAATTAATTCATATCAAATTCTTACGACATTGTAAACAAACTTAATAATTTGCAGACTAATAAATCTTTAGTACTGAGTACTGAGTAGTTGTACAAGCGAGAGAGTCGCCGGTGTAAATTATTCACTATTAAATAGTGTAAAAAATGATGATGGAGACATTGAATAGTAGGCAAAATGGCCACATAGATATTTGGGTAACACCGTGCGAAGACATATAAATCGTAAAAAGAAAAGAAACAAGGGGGAACCCCGACCCATGTAGCTGAAACACCTCACAGCAAGTAGATCAAAGTAGCTCTTGCTTGTGAAAAGTGTATCGGCTACCCGCCGAAGCGGTGGGTTGGGAGTCTCCCCTAGGATCATTTTGTCTGTAAAATTGTATACAATATAAAAACTACAATAAGTAATCTATAATATTTACATAAACAAAATTTAAGAGGCCTCATAAATCGTTGGAGAGACATTAGGGAAATACGTACCATTAAGACAATATTTCGACAGAATTCTCGCTTTTCTTTCTAGTAGCGCTCGATTTTTATACTTACGATGAAAAATATAAAAACGTGCGCGGCATCACTTTTTGAATTAACTTTAAATTTATTCTCTGCCAATTACTTGTATCACGTTGTGACCCCCACTGTCCTGACGATACAGGCGGAGCCGCGCACTCGTGCGCGGCGGTTCATACAAAGTATGACAAGGATTTCTGATTGTAGGTTTACAACCTACCAGGACGCGCGCCGAGTTGGACTCGTCGACGGTCCAATATATGGAACAGATATTTTACGAGTATCACCCGTTAAATTTCTGACGCCGCAATTATTAACACTGTCTCTGTTTCTCAGAATTTCATAGGTATGATATTTTCATACTCACGGCACATATTCAATATTTTGGGTGATTTTTCCATTGTTTGTTGTTATAAGTATAAAGTTACAAAAAATTTTGAAGATATTAATAAATGAAATTGTAGATCTGAAAAAATTTTACTGGGCGGCGCTCAGCCTGTCATTCCGCCGAATCTTTATGTTTATGAACATAAAGATTCGTCCCCAGGTAAATAAAGTTAACACAATATAATATACAAGTACAACCTTGACCATTGTTAATTATCTGGCCCGGCGCGCGCTACTTTGTAGCTGATATTTGGATACGAAACATGTATCAAAGGTTTACAACCTACCAGGACGCGCGCCGAGTTGGACTCGCCCGCGTCGACGGTCCAATATATGGAACAAATATTTTACGAGTATCATCCGTTAAATCTTGCTCTAACCAGAGCCCTCTCGCTTGCAGTAGCGCGCGACTTGTATCACGTTGCGACCCCCACGGTTGTTTCACTATGGTGACGATACAGGGGGAGCCGCGCACTTCGTGCGCGGCGGGTCATACAACGTATGACAACGAAGTCGGCAAAGACAGTACTACTTGTGAAACAAGCGCGTCACGCAGTACGCGTAGACACAGGTGAATATAATATCTTAACGGGTGATACTCGTAAAATATCTGTTCCATATTGATATATATATATATATAGGACCGTCGACGAGTCCAACTCGACGAGTCCAACTCGGCGCGCGTCCTGGTAGGTTGTAAACCTACAAATAATATCCTCTTCCACATACATATATTTAACGGGTGATACTCGTGAAATATCTGTTCCATATATTGGACGAGTCCAACCTCGGCGCGCGTCTTGGTAGGTTGTAAACCTACAAACATATATTGTATATCCTCTTCCACATCCACCCTCCCTCTAAACACTAAACACTAAAGCCCTGGACATCACTCACATGACAGACCGCTTCATTTTCTATCACCTGTCTTTCCGTGTAGGTTTATAACCTACCAGGATGTTTAAATTTAAAAAAAGGGAGTAACAGTGTAATTGACGGATGATACTCGTCTAAATTTCTTCGAAGTAGCGCGCGCCGCTTTCTTCTCGATGGCAAGTGCTACGAAGGTGCGCGCGCCGGGCCAGATCATTAACAATGGTCAACAGTGTAAGTGTAACAATGTAAGTGTAACGGAGTCTGTCTTGTAGCGCGCGCGATGCGTTACTGGCTAGATCGGCGAGATGCGCTACTGTGCCGCGCCGAGCTGCCATGAATTGACATCGTCAATTAAGAGTTTGTCCTGTACGTGACTTTAGTGTTTAGAGTCATAGCACTTTAGAAATAATAGTACGACTGTGTCATGTGGAACATAGCCCTACTTTTCTGAAACATTTAGAATTCCGTCAAATCTGCAAAATTTGGTTCAAGAAATACCATATTTGAAAAAGGGACAGAAACAAGAAATAGGCTTATATATGATTATCCAAATTATATTATTATAGTTATACTTTCTCTGGAATGCTGTCTCTTACCTGAGGACCCCAGGCTATTATGTTCATTAACATAATATAGATTTGGCGGAATGACAGGCTGAGCGCGGCCCAGTAAGCTGTCTCCGGCCGGAATTAAACCTTCAGTGGCAGTTCCTCATATTATCCATAGTTAACAAACTAATTGGTCACTGTTCTATCGCTTATAATGCGCAATATTTAAACGAATACAATCCATATGACATATACAAAATTACACGAAATATGCTAAATAGCTCAAGCTGTAATTCGTGATAATTCAGATGGGACTGTGGCTGTATATAAATACTTTTAGTTTTTAGCTAAATCATAGTCTACCATTTTATCAGTCAACAATTGATCAAGTCACAATTTCAATTAAAATACACTTTTTCTCTGATAGACCGAACCTTTGAATGTGAGAAACATCATCAAAAATGTCATTCTCTTCAGTAATGTAGTGTTTGAATAACAATAATAAGTTCAAGCAACAAATTTAGAAACAAAGCTCCTGCGCAGGAAACCACCTCTACTGTTAGCCGGAAGTGATGCTCCTTTCTGAACTTTTTTGTTCTTGCTCTGTCTGTCCGTCACTGAAGTTAAAAAACGCGTTACAAAAGAAAATTAATTAATTAATTATTTAATCATAATCATAAGTACAGATTAGAGACCCTTCAAACAAGCAGAGTCTTTAGAGCTTGTTATTTAACACTTTTCGTATAATTTAGCACAAACTGTTTGTTTATTTTCTTAAGTCAAATTTTAATACTTACAATAAAATCAAGTTGGTTATATCTTATGTTAAAGGACCAGTTAACTGAAAAATTTGTAGTCTCCAATTTGGCTAAGATTTAAATCAGCTGTGACAAACTGGTAAAGAATCGTATCGCCGAAAGAACCAACTCTCTAGCGTACTTGTAACGCGTGTTATTGCAATAATAAGCTGTGGCCTCGTGACGTCATAAAGTCCCTCAGTGCGCGCTTGCATAGCGTAATTTACATTACAAATGTTTATCATCGTCAATAAAACACATATAACTCACTCAAATTTTAGAATTATGACTATTACCCTAGTTCTCCAAAATCCTTATAGTTTTGACTATCATTCTAACTAAAGGAATAGCTGATTGGATGTACAGTGCTCACGTCATGATTTTAAACAGTGATATAGGTTCTTGAACAGTGGCGGGTGAATGTACGGTTAGAAAGTTTCTGCTATTACAACTTATGTCATATGTGATAATTTTGGATTGTTTTCATTGCTTAATTAGCTGCTTAACACAAGTAGCTAGGGAGACTGTGCCGATTATTTTTCCCCAGTCCATGAAACTCTAACGAATTTAGAAAGGATCTAGATAAGTAGGAGTTTGTTCAATTCCGAGAGCAATTATATTTATAGCATAGCGAAATTTATAACTTTAATCCGCATGTGTCAGCCAGCACAGGAGACAAGAAGTCTGGCTACTTTACGGCCGTTCCTCTGGGACCATTAGTAGAAGTAGCTTCTATCAGAACAGTGCCGTGGGAACAGAATTCCCGCCAAAATACCCGGTCTCGGGTCTACCAAATAGTAATACCGATTGGACTTGGAGTGTACGGTGTGCGGTGTGTCTTGAATTAGACTTACGGCTTACATAGTTGTTATCCTAATTGCATTATCATCGGTACATAACATAAATAAACTACTGGTAAGTTTAAATACCAAGTGCAAACGTGTTCAGTCAATCGACCCACTGAACAACTATAGAATTTCCAAGACCCTATTATTCTCTGGCCATATATTACGGCACGATCGATTGTTAGATGGCTAAACGACCAACGTTAATACTTAATCTATACAATTCTAAAACTATGAGCTAGCACTTTAATCTAAAAATACACTTTTTATATTACTCCTGATTTTTACATTTCACGTAAAACATTGTCGCCACAGGTTGATCATGGACACTAACAGCTTGATTTGAGATAAATGACTAATAAGTTTCTCTAAAGTTAACTCTAAAGTTGTGTAGTCCAGTCATTTATGGACATTTATGAAAAATGAACCTGCAAATATTCAAATACTCACGAAACTTTGCACAGACCTTCCCGAAGGTATGAATAAACGATTTTCGTTTGGAGACATTTTTTTACCGTGGAGAAAACCCAGGAGGGCCACGCCCATATTGACCCAATAACGTAACCGACCCCTTGCTCCTGAAGGTCGTAGAGTAGAGACTTCAAAATAGGCTTAAACGAAGCCGCATATGCATGTTTATATAGTGTTTACTTTTCGAAAAATTCGCCAAAAACCATTTTGGGCGTGGTGCTGAGCCCATTTTCGATAGGATCGTGATAGAGTCTTTAGACAGGGTGCAAAAGAACCGCAATTAGCATATTAATATATGACTTACGAACAAACATATGCCTTAAAGTGCTTACTTTTTCATTTATTGGGGAAAAACTGATTTTCGGTTCCAGAAATCATGCAAAACTATGGATATCTGGTAAATTGGGCTATGAAGGCCCTAAAGGTTTTTGAATGTGTGCAAATTGTGCAGAATGGCCATGTTTATATACAACTTATGAAGCAACATGTACCCTAAATTACTTACTTTTCGAGTTATTCGGGGAAAAACATTGTATTATGTCCATTTTCTACCTGTAAAATACAGTCTCACGAGCTCTTCTGCGCGCGCAAGGGACTTTATGACGTCATCGCCAAAATAATACAAATGCTATTTACACGCGTTAGAGAGCAGTTAGAGATTTAGGAATTTCAACACGTTGATTAGTTTGCTATTTGTCACAATCTGTCAAAATATGAGGATAACTTTTTTTTCAGTTAACTGGTCCTTTAATGAAGTCAATCAATGGTTACCGTCTAGTTGTTCCTGAAATATGGTGCTTGCCATTTACAGAATATGACGTGTTAATTCTAAATTCGATCGTTTCATAATTGCATCATTTAATGAAAGGAACTCCAGAATTTTACCATTCTATCAACAAACGTAAAAGTCCCAGTTGTATTAAAACCTATGTCATTAAGTTATATAATCATATTGTTATATGATTATATTACCTTTGCAATTTAAATGATTAGGTAGTCGTGTATTTATAGTTAGCCGCTGACATCACCAATTTGGATTAGCGGCACAGAAACTTGAAACTGTTTTTGTTCGATTTCAATTCAACTGGATGGACAAATTGCTTTTAATTCGAAGAAATAATACCACCGATCAATCATACCTACTCACAGACGACCGTTTTTAGAAGTGATTTATGAAACTGTAGTATAAACTATAAGCCATGATGCCAAAAATGGACATTTTTGGAACTTTGCACAACATATCTGGGCTATTAACCGCAGACATCGAACACTTTAATATAATTGCCTGTAAATTAAAATGCTTCGTTCCATTTAATGTGACACCGAAAATTCAAATTTTTGATAGTACCTGCAGTCTGAATATTCATTTTTAGAGGGGTTCAGGATTGCAACTAGCTATTTCTAAGTCACTAACGTGTTACCAAAGACTAGTTTCTTCGATGTAAAGTTCTTAGGGTACATTTTTAAAGAAATTTAGACGAGTATCATCCGTCAAGGTTTATGCTGAACTATAACGATGAATATTAACCAAGATCCCTCACAATCCTCGAGAATCCTCCTGACATCTGAGCATGGTCAGTGCCCTGCAATATTTTAAGGTAATCCAATTTGATTTAAGCACTTTTCCAGTTTAAAAAGTACTAACCGTCAGACGATATGGAAACTGAGAGCAACCCGTCTGGAGACGAAATCTTCTTTTTTGGGTTCCCATTTCTACCGTCGTCTCTGGAGATAAATTATTAGTTTATTCGTATAATTGTTCAATTTAATTAGCTTTTAGATTAGATTTTAATAAGCTTGTAGAGCTGCTAACATGGAGCCCCAGTTACTCACTGCTTACTGCATTTTATAAATTTGGATTATAGAGTACGGTGTATTTTATTATACCATTACCACATTGGATTAAGCACAAGAAATGTAATATTGTACACTTTATTTTAACCACTCTGCTATATAGTATAAAATTATAGTAAATGAAGTTTAATTAAATCCATTCTAAGAAATTAATTCCAGCTCTTTAGATATTCGATATCAATCATGAAATACCCAATAGTCAATATATCACACACAATTAAAAAAGTTTTATAATCTACCTGTCATTGAACGCATATCTGTTAACAACGTTCACTAAATGAGCGATCACCATTTCTTTTTCCTCCATCATATTCTCCCGGTCTTTAATTTCCCCCTCCAACTTTTTTATCTTTTCTGAACATAAATTTACTTGGTTAGTAAAGCAAAAAGTATTAAGCTTTGCTTTTGGAATTTAGATGGCCTAACATAAAAGGTTTTCACTGGGAATGCGCAAGCTTCGCGGAGAAAACCCTCAGATCACTCACTGATCAGTAAACCTTGACCTTCAGATCAAACTCAAGGTGTGGCTATAAACCCACTTCGTCATGATGGCAGTCACGTGTCCATTGTTAACTGTCCCTCAACAAACATATTAAAGTATTAAATTTCAACTACAGCTGCGGACGACGTTCGTCACGAGATATTGTGAACATTAGCCACGTGACCCATACTCCCATATGCACTGCTCAGAAAGAAAATGTATTGCTTTTAGGCACTATAATGTAAAAAATGTCACATTTTTGTGACATTGTTTACCATAGCTGCCCAATTATCATTCCTTGGTCGGAAATATAGTAGATTAGGTCAATCTAACAATTATGATACAACATTGGTTAAAGGGCACGGATCGAACGGCTTTAAAGGACCAGTTAACTGAAAAAAAAGTTATCCTCATATTTTGACAGATTGTGACAAATAGCAAACTAATCAACGTGTTGAAATTCCTAAATCTCTAACTGCTCTCTAACGCGTGTAAATAGCATTTGTATTATTTTGGCGATGACGTCATAAAGTCCCTTGCGCGCGCAGAAGAGCTCGTGAGACTGTATTTTACAGGTAGAAAATGGACATAATACAATGTTTTTCCCCGAATAACTCGAAAAGTAAGTAATTTAGGGTACATGTTGCTTCATAAGTTGTATATAAACATGGCCATTCTGCACAATTTGCACACATTCAAAAACCTTTAGGGCCTTCATAGCCCAATTTACCAGATATCCATAGTTTTGCATGATTTCTGGAACCGAAAATCAGTTTTTCCCCAATAAATGAAAAAGTAAGCACTTTAAGGCATATGTTTGTTCGTAAGTCATATATTAATATGCTAATTGCGGTTCTTTTGCACCCTGTCTAAAGACTCTATCACGATCCTATCGAAAATGGGCTCAGCACCACGCCCAAAATGGTTTTTGGCGAATTTTTCGAAAAGTAAACACTATATAAACATGCATATGCGGCTTCGTTTAAGCCTATTTTGAAGTCTCTACTCTACGACCTTCAGGAGCAAGGGGTCGGTTACGTTATTGGGTCAATATGGGCGTGGCCCTCCTGGGTTTTCTCCACGGTAAAAAAATGTCTCCAAACGAAAATCGTTTATTCATACCTTCGGGAAGGTCTGTGCAAAGTTTCGTGAGTATTTGAATATTTGCAGGTTCATTTTTCATAAATGTCCATAAATGACTGGACTACACAACTTTAGAGTTAACTTTAGAGAAACTTATTAGTCATTTATCTCAAATCAAGCTGTTAGTGTCCATGATCAACCTGTGGCGACAATGTTTTACGTGAAATGTAAAAATCAGGAGTAATATAAAAAGTGTATTTTTAGATTAAAGTGCTAGCTCATAGTTTTAGAATTGTATAGATTAAGTATTAACGTTGGTCGTTTAGCCATCTAACAATCGATCGTGCCGTAATATATGGCCAGAGAATAATAGGGTCTTGGAAATTCTATAGTTGTTCAGTGGGTCGATTGACTGAACACGTTTGCACTTGGTATTTAAACTTACCAGTAGTTTATTTATGTTATGTACCGATGATAATGCAATTAGGATAACAACTATGTAAGCCGTAAGTCTAATTCAAGACACACCGCACACCGTACACTCCAAGTCCAATCGGTATTACTATTTGGTAGACCCGAGACCGGGTATTTTGGCGGGAATTCTGTTCCCACGGCACTGTTCTGATAGAAGCTACTTCTACTAATGGTCCCAGAGGAACGGCCGTAAAGTAGCCAGACTTCTTGTCTCCTGTGCTGGCTGACACATGCGGATTAAAGTTATAAATTTCGCTATGCTATAAATATAATTGCTCTCGGAATTGAACAAACTCCTACTTATCTAGATCCTTTCTAAATTCGTTAGAGTTTCATGGACTGGGGAAAAATAATCGGCACAGTCTCCCTAGCTACTTGTGTTAAGCAGCTAATTAAGCAATGAAAACAATCCAAAATTATCACATATGACATAAGTTGTAATAGCAGAAACTTTCTAACCGTACATTCACCCGCCACTGTTCAAGAACCTATATCACTGTTTAAAATCATGACGTGAGCACTGTACATCCAATCAGCTATTCCTTTAGTTAGAATGATAGTCAAAACTATAAGGATTTTGGAGAACTAGGGTAATAGTCATAATTCTAAAATTTGAGTGAGTTATATGTGTTTTATTGACGATGATAAACATTTGTAATGTAAATTACGCTATGCAAGCGCGCACTGAGGGACTTTATGACGTCACGAGGCCACAGCTTATTATTGCAATAACACGCGTTACAAGTACGCTAGAGAGTTGGTTCTTTCGGCGATACGATTCTTTACCAGTTTGTCACAGCTGATTTAAATCTTAGCCAAATTGGAGACTACAAATTTTTCAGTTAACTGGTCCTTTAAGGCAATATTTCGTAAACTTTGTCACACTCAGAATACGAGACCTCTTTTCTACTGTGAGGTGTCCTCAAAACCCTTTCAACTCATTATTTGATGGTTCTTCTGCCAATCATAGCCCTAAAATATGTTGTTTTGAAAAGTTAGCAAATACATGCACTTGGTTATATTGGGAAATGATGTAAATTCTGTCACATTATATGGAATTTGAAATTCTGGGTGAATCATTTATATCTGATTTTGGTTTGGAAGGCGGGAAAACTTCATATGATGACAATGTAGTTGATTCAAGTTCAGATCAGTTGATGTTTACATTGTCACAAAAAATGATACGAAATCGTAAATATGTTAAAAACAATGATTATAGAATGAAATAGTCTCTTATAATAACTCTTATAATAACTGATGTGACAAAGTAAACATGTCTTGCCCCTATTTTGAAGATCTATATATTCTATGACTCTATTAGAATTCAACATTCTTCCAGAAAAAAATCGGTAGAATATTGTCCAGAACATCGAGCTCAAGTTCAACAATTTTAGGTTAAATTTGTCAAAGTCACTAAAAATGTGACAAAATTAACTTTTCCTGCCCCAACAATTTCAAGATAGTGTGTAAAAATTAGCATAGGCTGCTTTATTGCCTATATAAATCAATGCAAACTACGAAAAAGATCTGCTAATCTGATGACGATTACCTAACTCTAATAATAACTGATGTGACAAAGTAAACATTTCTTGCCCCTATTTTGAAGATCTATAACTCTATTAGAATTCAGCATTCTTTCAGAAACGATTGGTAGAATATTGTCTAGAACATCAGAGCTCAAGTTTAACAATTTTAGATTAATTTGTCAAAGACACTGAAAATGTAACAAAATTAACTTTCCCTGCCCCAACAATATCAAGATAGTGTGTTAAAATTGACATATGATGCTTAATTGCCTATATTAATCGATCCAAACTACAAAAAAAAGATCTGTTAATCTGATGACGATTACCTAACTCTTATAATAACTGATGTGACAAAGTAAACATGTCTTGCCCCTATTTTGAAGATCTATAACTCTATTAGAATTCAGCATTCTTTCAGAAACGATTGGTAGAATATTGTCTAGAACATCAGCTAAGATGAGAAGTATGTATGATACCGGGCGAAAAGTACGTACTTGTACTTTCTTTTGAAAAGTACGTATGATACCTCAGTGTACGATTCAAAAAATTTTCAAACTTATTTTCACAGGCGCGATGTAACTTTTTTTAGATCCGACGTTTTATTTATTGGAAACTCCCGACTTCCACGATTGAAATTTCATTGTCATGATGGTTTTGAAAGCCATATTCATGGAGATAATAGAAACACTCAATCGCAGATAACAAAGAAAGTTTAATAAGCTTCATCATTTCATCAAAACAAAAAACAATGAACTTTCTAGCATCATCATTTCAACAGATCAAATTTATTTTCAGCTTTAACCTTAGTTGTAGTGAACGTACCGCGTACGGAACGTTCACTAAAAATAGTTTGTGAACGCGTTCGCTAAAAGATTTTAACGTTCGGAACATAATGAACGTTAATTGCTATTATGAAATTAAAATGCCGGACATAGCCCAATTATCCGGCAAAGTACTAGCGTTTCCATTGCCAGGCCTTCAGGGGAAACTCGGTTTGCCACCCAGTTTATTATGTTGGAGAGACTGAAGGGTTCCAAGGATACTTTGATTTAGACTTATATTGATCCAACCCTTACTGAGTCTGTTAGCAATAAAAGTAATGCATACAAGAATTTGTTTGAGTGCGCTAAAGATTTAGTGTTTGACCCCCATTTCTGGATAGAAGTCGACTATTTATGCTCAATTCTCGAGCCGATAATAGTCTTGCCTTTAACGTTTCAGTTTTGCATTAGAGTAGATGTAGATCAATTTGTTGAATCTCTCAGGCTTAGTGCGTAGTCTTCTACTGCAGTAGATATACTCCATGTCTCTAAAATTTTGTTCACAGACTGAGGAAGAAGTCAGAACACTAAAAACTTTTCTAGCGATCAAATGGAGAACCTCATAACTCTGTGGGCTATAGTATCTCCAATACAACATAGGATTTGGTAGATTCTGCAACGAATCCACTTCGGTGTATAAATTGAGCCCCTCGCTGTCCACATTTAGCCTGTAATGCTCGAGTTTTCTCAGGGCGATACCGCTGTCAAACTTCATCAGTCTAGCTGTAAAACTCTCGCTACAACTCTTCTTTGATGATCTACAACTTATAAGACTCTGAAATCGCGCGAAATTTTAAAAACCGCGCGAAAATTTGACACGTGCACTACATTATTGTATCTGCGTACTTTTCCGCAGTATTTTAAAAGTACGTACTTGTGCGATACTTTGAAAAGTACGTATGATACATACTTCTCATCTTAGAACATCAGAGCTCAAGTTTAACAATTTTAGATTAATTTGTCAAAGAC